GTAAGTCAAAATTAATTTATTTAGCAATTTACTAATCTTTTCTCCCTTTTATTTCAGAGTCGACCCCACATTGTGATGGCTTCATGAAATTCATGAACAACAAACTCATATAAAAATCCCTTTAAGTTATATCCTCTTTGACCTATTGAAATCATTTCAACTTCCCCCCAATTTGGATTTTGTTCAGTGCTAACTATCAGCACTTACTAAATCTAAATTCTTACCGATAAACTTAAACATTTTATTAATATTAACATAACAATAAACTGACTTTTATTAATAAGCATATCTCTTGAATATTTTTTTTTTTTAATAATTTACTCTATGAAAAATACAGACTTCTCCAAACAAAATCTACAAATCTTTCACTAATTATATCAACTTCAGAATCAAATTTCCAAGTACTTTCCCAATTTCATTACTTCTTTTCCTGTACTATTTATTTCTCGTACTAATTTCATAGAAATTCTTATAATTGTTCCCCTCTTTATTTTATGTTTTTATTTATTTATTTATTTCCGCATATACTATTTCAGTATCTTTATTCATTGCCGCATTATTATTTATTCTTTTTATATCCCCATATAATATTCATTTCATCATCTCTACATACAACTCTCTATATTTCATATTTCAATATTTCATATAATTCTATTTTTCATCTTATTTTCGCATATACTATTTATCATTATAATATTCCCTATTTCCCAATTTCTACAAAATATCGATTTGTCCATAGTACTTTGCTTATTTATTTATACTTGTAACTCCTATAAATCTACTTGAAAATAAATCAACCTTTTTTGTTTATATAAATTTATCATTATTCTGTACATTTGTTCCTAATAAATTATTTAATTATCAAATTTATCTCAAGATATGCTTATTTATTAATTATCCTTCTATTTACAAAACTTATATCTTATAATACCAAATTCGTGTCATAATATTGCATTATTTAAATTATTTACAATGTTTTTGTTGATTAGAGTTACTTCTGAACCTGTATCTATAATAATAACTTGTATACTGAATCTTGTATGTACCCTTCAATAAACTTTAAAGTATTAGTGTTATTGTTTTTATTTAATTCCCCAGTATCTCTAATAAACTCCCTTGGATGTTCATACTTTGATAAGTAGACAATATTATGCACATAGGAGCGGTCTAAGCAAAATTTCTCCCTTCTGCATCAACACTTGCTTCCCCCCTATTCTCCTCTGTTCTAACTACATTCACCTGTCTTCTCTCCTCATTTTCCCCCCTATTATATCTTGGATTCCCTTCTCTATAAACTTCCCTATTTCTCGTCTCCTGTGGATAATTTCCCTGGTTCTGTCTCCAATTATTGCCTCTGTCATTCCCTTGTCTCCAGTTATTCTCTCTATCATTGTTTGGATTCCCTTGTCTACGTTCCCAGTTATATCGTCCGATATCTCTCCTGACATTGTTCAAATTCTCTCCCCTATTTGTAAAATCCCTGCTTCTATTTTGTCTCTCAAATTCTCTTTCCCTATAATTATTCCCTCGATTCACATATCCCTGTCTATTTGTTGTGTTATTCCTATATGTCACTTGCTCTTGTCCATTTCGATTCTGCGTCCCTACACTCCTCTCAATCCTCTGAAGATATCCTGTCAAACTTTCCATCGTCTTTATATTGTGGAGAGCTATTGTTTCTGCCATGTTATGGTTATATTGCCTGGCAATGTATAGGACAATCTCCTCTTCTCGCATAGCCGGTTCTAAATATTGTGCTGTCTGGAATAACTGCATTGCGTACAGATTGTAGTTGGTACTTTTTTCATAATTGAATTTCCCAAAATACAACCGCTCCCTGAAACTAGCCTGTTGGTTTTCTCCCCAAAAATAGTTAATAAACTTGGCCTCAAATTCCTGCACATTATTTATGGAATTTTCATTATTGCAAAACCATAATAATGGCATGCCCACTAACATGTTTCGAATATTCAATTTCATTTCTATTGGATCCCTTACATTCTTTACCTTATTTTTGATGATATCTACAAATATTCTAGGATGTAAGTGATTCAGGTTTCCATCAAACTTTATTCCCCCATCATTATAACTCGGCACCACAGTACTCACTACTCTTGTTTGTCCTAGATTTGATTCCAAACGCTGAATCTCCTCACTTGCATTTTTAAATTTCTCTCTCAATTCCTCAACTTGTCCCTGTAATACTCTATCTCCCTTTTCCGCCTGATTTGCATGCATACCCATTTCCAGTTCCAAATTCTGCAATCCCTTCTTTATATTATTTTTTATAATGGTAATTTTTTCCTCATAATCCTGAGTTTGCCTTTTAACACTTTCTACCTCCCTAACAATCTCTTTATTCTGCTTATTAACTTCTTTGTTTATTTCCATTGGTAAATTCTCTTTAATGGCTGTTCCCAACTCTACAAATCTGCTCCCAATTTCCTGTCCTATTTCCGCTCTAATTATGGCCTTTTCTCTGGATATCTCCTCCTGTACATTCCTCTTAAAATTCTCACTTTCTCCTCTGACCTGTTCTACTTTCTCTTCTAAACCTTGGGTAATTTGTAGCATCTCTTCCCTGACTATCTTCACTTCTTCTTTGATTTCTTCCCTCATTTTAATTAACTCTTCCCTAAGTTCTCCTTTAATATTATTTTCCATTTTGTTCATATCCCCCCTAATATTGTTAATATTACTATCCATTTTGTGCATATCTCCCCTAATATTATGATCCATCTGTTGTAACATCCGCATTATTTGCCTCATATCCATCTGTGTCATCCCTGACTCTCCAACATCTCCTTCCCTGCGTCTCTCCTCCTGCACTCTACTTTCATCCTCACTTACATCACATCTATCTCTCACTATCTCATCCAACTCCTCTCTCAAATTATCTGTTAGACTTACCACTCTATCACCTTGTCCTGCTTCTTGTATGCCTTGCTCTAAATATACTACAACTTCTCCTGATCCTCCTCTGCTTTCTTCATCTACCTGTATATCCTGTTCCTGTTCTAACACCTGTTCTCCTTTACTCTCTTTCGGTACGACTTCTTTTCCATTTCTTAAAGTCATTCGGTCTGCCATTTTATCCTAATATCTATTTATTCTCAAATTTAACTTTAACTGCCCCAGAATCTCTGCAACTCTAATCACACCAATTTATTTTTACTCTAATCTATGTAATATTAATAAATCTGCTTAAAAAACACCCTTATTTCTGTTTTCCCAGAGGCTCCACGTTGTTAGCGCCAATTGTAATAGTTTTGTTTTTATTATTTTTATGTTTTATTGTTAATAAATATAATTTTAATTGAATTGAAGTGAATTTTAAAAGTATGTAGTTCGTTGTTAATATACTATACCTCGGCTAGCTCAATTATTTGTTCTAAGCAATCTGTCACTGTGTGACGTCAACTCTGTAGTCTCCTGGTAGAGTTCAAAAAGAAATTAAACCAAAATTTACTTTATATTTTTGATAAATTAACCCAAATGAAGCACGTTATTTATTAATATTGAACAAATTTAATATAAACAATAAAATTCGTCTGCAACTTGGGTAGCCTTTAAAATTTTACAAAAATAGGAATCGTGTAAACCTTAATGTGTCGTGAAATAGAATTTGATTACAAAATGTGGAAACTCTCTACAATTACCTTAAATCTAAATGACTATTGCAACTTTATAAAGTGTTTAAATGAAATATAAAGAAAAGAAAACTGAACACTTTATGCCGCTGACTTATAACTAGCATTAAAATATAATCAAAATTTCAAATGATCCCCAAAATTATTATCCAAACTCACTTTCAAACAGTTCTGATTTTTTTTTTAAAGAAAACTAACTACTCGCAAAATAATCGGTGATACTGGAATATCTATCCTCTCTTCGGAAGTTAAAGGTACGTACTATTATATTTTTATTTTAATGATCATTAATATTTCAATTTTTAAGGCCTATCGCAATTAGTTAATTCATGAATTTTTACTTTTTCAATCTAAATGACATTTCTGCACTCCAATTATAATTTATAAGTCAAAATTTCTCTTACTCTCTGGAACAAATTCTGGATATCTCTATTTGAAAATGTGGAAAAACTAAATTATAATTAAACGATTTTAAAGCACTCCCGGACTATTCCACCTTTTTAGGGCTCTTCCTCCAAAATTTTCGTCGCCTCCAACAACCTATTCTTCCTTGTTAACCGCCATAGCTAGCACCAACCACCAAAATTATTCGTTGCTAACAGCAACCCCCTTTCTTTTTTCATTCCGTCTTCTATTTTATTCAACCATAAAACTGTCCTGTTTTGACATATTTGTCAAACCACATTAATTTCTCATAAGCACTTTAATCACATCTAATTTGGGAATTTATAAAAAAAAAATTCAGATATAAAACTTAACAATACTAATATAATTTATTCTTTTCATCTCCACATCATTGTAATTTATTTAACAAAACCCCTATTAATTTAGTTCCCACAGACTTTTGACAGTTTATTTTTCTGACGTTTATTTTTGAAATTTCTATGTTTAAATAATTTTTTAAGAATTCTTCTTTTTTATTCCTTTTAAGGTTTAGACGATTCACCTATACACTAGGCAACTATACTATTCAGAAATTATTAACACTATACCAGGTAAGTCAAAATTAATTTATTTAGCAATTTACTAATCTTTTCTCCCTTTTATTTCAGAGTCGACCCCACATTGTGATGGCTTCATGAAATTCATGAACAACAAACTCATATAAAAATCCCTTTAAGTTATATCCTCTTTGACCTATTGAAATCATTTCAATATATAATGCAAACTTATACACGGTGAAACTATAAAAGATTAAGAAGTTAAGAATAATGTGAGATTATAAATTAAGGGGTTAATTTGTGATTAAACAACAAACTGTAGTTTTTTGGGTATTGATAATAACTTAACCGAAATAAATTACGAAGCATTTATTTTTATTAAAACTTAAAAAAAATCAAGTACCCTTACCTTGACAGCAGAATCTGTCAGAGCCAAGAACTTGTTAACAACAGCACCGATGGAATACGAAATCCTCTTGGGAAGTGTGCTAAGCAAGGTGCTAGAGAAATTAATAAGATGAACAACTCTTCTGGCAGACTCTCTGGTTAAAAGAACAATCAACTGCTCCAGATTTTCTGGCCTTGCCTGATTTTCCGGTTCGTCTTTGCTCAAACTAGCCCACAACTCTTTTCCTTTTTGGTAAGCCAGGACAGGATCGGTAGCAATCTAAAGCAAGTTAAAGATTAATCAAATTTAAGCGAATCGATTAATCAGATCTTACCAGTTCTAGAACATATGTGAGAACGTGTACTGCTTCGGCACTTTGGTGTTTTAGGGCTTTGACTTCGGCGATTGTTCTTTGAGTCAGTCGTCTTCTAAGCTTTCTTGAAAACCTGTCAGCGTGATGAATTGTGCTAATCGCTTTTCCTTTAGGACCATCCTCAGTAACAGGAACAGAAACTTCTAAAATAAAAAATATAAAAATGACACATTGAAAATTACCGGATTAGAAGACCTAAATACTATTAATAATATAGAATTATCCATACCTGATTAAGCATTCTTGGAAATGATGATGAATGACCAATGGGATCCTCAACAAGGAATAAAATGCCGTACCGAACAAGCAAGACAAGCTTTTATCAAACTTAAACCGCTACTATGTAATCGCAATTTTTCCTTCAATCTCCGCTACAGGATGGTTAAATGCTATGTATGGTCCATATTGTTATACGGCATGGAAACATGGACGTTAAGAGTACCTTCCATTAATAAGTTGGAGGCCTTCGAAATGTGGACGTTGCGAAGAATGTTCCTCGTACCATGGACAGATAGGGTGAGAAACGAGGAAGTCTTAAGAAAGGCAAATACTGAGAGAGAACTACTCAATTTGACCAAAGTACAAAAAATTGGATACCTCGGCCATATTCTGAGAGGGAAAGATTGAAGGCAAGAGAGGAGTAGGTCGCAAACAGATGTGGCTACGGAACATAAAAAACTGGACAGGCATAAATAACACTGGCGATTTTTTGTACGCCGCAAAAGACAGACGTCTAGCCTTAAGATAATTCGCCAACGCACTATAAATGCACGGCACTATAAGAAGAAGAAGAAAGGTTAATAATTTATTGTAAATTTTGAAAATTTCATGATACACCCTTGATATGATTTGGATACTTATATGTAGATGATCACTTTTGTCTTTTTCTTACTATATTTGCTATAAGTTGCTATTTTTGAGAATCATGAGCAAAATCTGACAACCTAGGTACTATATCCATACCACTCCATACTTTTTATTTTGCAATCTTGTAATACTTGGCAATTCAAAGAAAACTATCCTTTCTTGTTTCAGAAATGTTTAATCAATACCACCCATATCTCTCCTTTTTATCCATCTATCAGGAGTTTAAGGGAGGCCTATGTCCAGCAGTGGACGTGATAAATGTAGGCTGGATGATGATGATGATGATGATGACCCATATCTCTTGGAAATCGTTGATTAATTTTCTAATTAAAGTTGAAACTTTCAAGATGACACAAATATTTACTTAAATCTAATGACTAGACCAGGTATTTAGTCCTACTAAGATAGGAGTGAAGAAAAAGTAACTTTTATAATCTTTTATTACCAAATATTTACTATATATTCTCAAATTTTTAAATAAATAATATTTGAATCAAAATATCTAAGAAAGGGTATATTACTTTATGAGGCGGAGAAGCATGACTTTTCTTGACGCGCCCGATATTAAGCGCCGAACGAAGTGAGGCGCGTAATAGAGGGCAAGTCAAGAAAAGTCGCTTCTTTGCCGAATAAAGTATACTATTTTTTCTTCAAACGTAGCAATTTTCAACCATAAATAGTACAATTCATACGCTATTTTTACTCGAAATTAACTGTGACAACTATCAAAGTCGTCTAGATGTTAGAAATTAAAATAATTAAGTCGTCGGTGGGATTTGCGTCTCCCTGGTTACAGTTGTTTGACAGTTGTTTGCAATTATTAAAGGCAGCTTATTGTTGTTGCAACCGCAAGCGCAAATTTAGTGCGAAAATGGAAAACCTAAACGAAATTGAGTCCGCGGCTAATGATGCTGTAGCACGTTTGGGGCCCTCCAAGTCCGGAATAAAGTATCGGTTAGCGTACAAGCACTTCCAAGAGTGGTGCGATACAAGAGGAGTACGGCAAGTTACCGAAGACGTTTTACTGGCATATTTTAATATAATGGAAAATGAAAATAAATGAAAATCTTCTACAATGTGGTCACGATACTCTATGATAAAATCCGAGTTAGTTATTAGAAAAAAATGTGGATATGTGCAAATTTTTAAAGTTACGTGTCTTTCTGAAAAAAACAAGCAAAGGATATACTGCAAAGAAGTCTAAAGTTTTCACTAAAGACGAGTTTGATAAATTTTTGTTTGAAGCGCCAGATAAGTTGTATTTAGGATTAAAGATAAAAAAAAAATTATATTGCAAAGCATGTACTATACTCTACTAAATTATAAAAATATTTCAGATTTTTTTGTTAATTGGGGTTACCGGCGCCTGTCGATGCGACGAAATGGTAAATATGAAGACTGTGGATATTGAGGATAATGAAAATGTAATAATTATCAAAATCCCAGACAGTAAAACACGACAAATTAGATCTTTTACGATAATTGGTCAAAACTACATTAAACTGTATAAAAAGTATGCATCACTGCGGCTAAAAATTTCTCAGAAAACCGATTTTTTATCAAGTACCAAAATGAAAAGTGTTACCGAAGCGTCATGAGAATACATTCGATCAGCGCAGTAGCACAAAAGTAGCTAGTTATTTAAATTTAAACGATGCAAGCGCATACACGGGTCACTCTTTACGACGAACTTCAGCAACACTTTTAATTGATGGAGGCGGAAATCTAGAATGCCTCAAACGACATGGGGGCTGGAAATCAAGCACGGTTGCCGAAGGGCGAAGGATATATAGAGGATTCAATAAGAAATAAGAACGATAATGCTCAAAAAATTTTAAACCCTCATGATTCTCAAACATCGGGAATGATTGCTGAAAGTTGTTCTCGACTATCAGTATCATCAACAATTACCAATGCGTATCAAGAGTCGGGAACATTTTTGCACGGTTTCAATTTTGAAAATGCCTCATTTAACTAATTGTACTTTTAATATTACTATAAATAAAAATGATGTTTAATTGTTGTTAATGACATTTGTATTGTTGCTTTGTGACATGTTTCATATTGTTGCCATCACAACATTTTCCCTCCGCCGTAAAGAAATGGGAAAAAAAACTGCTGCCGGCGGAGACATCAAACTTTGACAGGATCAAGTTAGATTAGTAATGTCATCATTATTTGATGTTTGAAGAAAAACAATTTCTTTGTCTTTTATTATATGATAATAAACTTACCTCTTTTCCATAACCATTTTTTAAATTCTCAAATAAAAAACTGGTTAAAAACTCTTACTATTTCGTCAATTTCTTTACGAATTTATTCATGGCAAAATTGGATGTCAAATTCAGCTTTACACACGTCAAATTTGACCTTGAAGCGACTTCATGAATTTATTCGTGAATTTATTGTTGGTGTAAAGCCCGCATAAGACAACTTAATGATAATACGTGCCTGTAGTTAAAATACATATAAATAAAATAAAATACTAAAAACGTTTACCTTCCGAAGCTTGATCATCCTGAGCCGGCAAATATTTATCGACGTATTTCTCAGCTACAACTAAAGCGCCGTCCAAAGTATCAGCAGCTATTGCAGTGTATTTGCTGGACAATACACTGTTTCCAATTTGTTTCACTGAATCGGCTCTCTTTAAAACGGGCTGAGCTATCTTCGTTCCAACTTCTTGAACGTACTGTTTTGTATTCCAATAAATCTAAAAATTAGAAAAGTAATATAACAGTTATTGACATTTATGATATATCATTGTTTAGTAGACATTTGAAAATCATTTTTCATAAGACAAGGTGGTACCTATTTAACTAATTCTATCCAAAAAGACAATAATACTGTATTTGTAAAAAAAGTAATTACATATTTTTGAATTTTTTATACATAAATGACGTTTTGTTTAAACATAGCATTTGGTTAGAAGATGCATGAACAGAGTCATGTCCGAGTGAGCTTTGTCTTTCATACACAGAAAATTTTCTCCAATGTATGGACTGAAACACTGAAAGATAGCATAATATGATCTTGCACAAGTAAGAATAATAAACTGCCCAAGAATAATTAACTAATGTCAAAATGACAGATACTATAAACAAAACTTCGATTTTAGTAAGTGTAGAGGAAGGACAGGAAGTTGGATAATTTCAGTAACTTAAGTCGTAATAAAAAACAAAAATTACAATAGATGAAAGTCATTTCCACAAAAATATAAAAGTAAAACTTTGTTAAACACTGCTAAAAACTTAGGATAAGTAGTGATGGCTTGTCTTGAACGGTAAATATTGACCTAATATTACATTTAAGACCATAATAATAATAATAAGGTTACAAACCTCGATCAAGAAACTATCGGCTTTCGACAACAACTGTATGTCGAATTTTGCAAAGAGTGCCCAGAAATCCAAGTATCCAAACAACGAGTAGCAGACCAATACCGGGTAATTATAAGAAACCATCTTATCTCAGGGACTAGACGCGATGTTATCAGAAGTCTAACGGGAGATTTATAACCAAGAGCAAGTTGTACCAAGTTGTTGGGACCAAGTCCCTAATGAAATCCCTAATGAGCAGATTCCTGAGCTTCTAATTCAAGAAACTCAACTTTATAATACGCAGCATGACAATAATGAGTTGCACAATAGTCTGGTAAACGAGATGGGCTATGCCATACAAGAGTTCTGTGGAACAAACCCATTGTGGAACTGATTTACTGTGCAGTAACAGCAATTGCTAATATTATGGGCATTAAGATCAGAACATGACGGGGTACCAACATCGGGGGACTGATAACAGAATAGTACCCTGGCAAAAACGACTGCTGAGGAAGATTGAATTATTGCGTAGGGACATTGGACAAATAACGGAATACATACAAGGAGTAAGAAGTAGAAAAAAAAACAAGAGAGCTGAAGAAATATTGTTTAAGACTCTAAGACAGTCACTTCATGATCCAGAAAATAACACACCTCAACAATGCCTGGATTCATTAAAATAAAAACTCTCCATTTATTCAGGCCACCTAAGGAGATACGCAGTTAGCTACAATCAGAAATGTGACAATATACTTTTTGATCGTGAAGGGAAGGCGTTTTGTAGGAAACTTAATTCCACTGTGGAAAATTAAAATAAATCATACCCAAGCCAAGAAGAAATTAATGAGTTTTAGTGAAAACAACTTTCAACGCTAGCTACTCATAACACCAATACTGGATGGATTGAAGACACAACGTACAACTGTCAGCATTACAATAATATTCCTTACGAATTCTTCACACTGAAGAAGTCTCAAATACTATCATAGAGCTTCATAATTGGAAATCTTTTAGACCAGACGAAGTTTAAAACTTCTGGCTAAAGAAGTTTTGGGGTGTTTATGAGTGTTTGTTAGTGTTGAATAATCATATTATCTCTAATCTGCAGTAAATGCCATCATTTCTTTTACAGGGAACCACTTGTCTTATTATTAATGATCAAAATAATATATCTAGCCAAATATCGCCCAATTACTTGTCTTTAAACTTTGTACCAATTGGTCAATACTGTGCTCTAAACGATATCATACAATCAAACAGAAAGGATGCGCTAATGGCTCCTTCTTCTTAACGTGCCCTATCAAGTATCCTTGACGTTGGCGATTAACATGGCGAAACTGTCTCTGTCTCGAGCTATTCTAAATAGTTGCTCAGCTTTCTTTATTCCTGTCCACTCCCTGATGTTCTTCAACCAAGAGGCCTGCTTTCTACCAATTCCTCTGTGTCCTTCGATTTTACCCATCATAATAAGTTGAAGAATATTATATCGGTCTTCTCTTACTACGTGTCCAAAATAGGCCATCTTTCTACATTTTGATGTTATCAAGCAGCTCGCGAGCAGCATTTGCTCTCTCAAGGACTGCCACATTTGTCAGCATAGCCGTCCATGGAATTTTCACTATACGTCTGTGCAGCCACATTTCAAAGGCCTCCAGACGAATTAATGGTGGATATTTTTAATGTCCATGCTTTGACACCGTATAGGAGGACTGACCAAATGTAGCATTTAACCATGCGCTTTTGAAGTTGAAGTTGCAAGTTATCATTACAGAAGAATGACCTCATTTTTAAAAATGTCGTGCGGGCTATCTCGATTCTACATTTTATCTCTTGGAGCTCTACATTTTATCCCTCATGGAGCTAATGGCTCCATGGGTTGAAAAGAACAACCATTATCGACTCTAACCAAGCATACATGAAAAAAGGAACATATTTACTGCCTTCATTGGTTAGAAGAAGGCCTTTGATTCAGTACAGCACGAATAGCTTATAGATATTTTGTAAATATATAAAGTAGATGATAATATAGTGTCCTTTTTAAAACATATAATGACGAAGACAAAGACTAAAATTCACCTTCAAATATATGGTGAAAACAATATCGAAACTGAAGTTATTTCAATTAACCGGGTCTTTTCCAGGGGGACTCGTTGACTCCATTTTGGTTCTGTGCTCACACAGTGCGGTCCAGTCGCACCAGTGGCGCATAATAGACCGAATCTCATACTAGTCAATAACCTTACTAGGCAATCAACACTTATAGACGTGGCGATCCCTAATCACAATACATATAATGTGTGGGTTAAATACAACAAAAGAAAACAGGCCAAGTATAGAGATCTAGAAATAAAAAGTTCCCTGACAGTACCTATTATTCCATCTACTATTGGTGTTATTCCGAAAAACCTTCTACAAAACACAAAGTGGCGTGGGCTAAGGGAACACCTGTATAAGACCATTCAAAAAGCTGTGCTACTATCGACGTCCAGGTGCGTACGAGAATTTTTGTGGGATGCTCCAACGTACCAAGTCACCTAGGACTCGATCACACGGAAAGGGACCCACCAGAGCTCGACTTTTCCCCATAGAGGGACTGTGTGCCGTGTCGCTAAATCTGGATAATAATAATAAATAGGAAAAACCCGTATATAGGGAATAATCTTGTTCTTTAGACTATCTTACAGTAATTAAATACATACAATAAAATGAAAGTAAATATGGAGAAAAAAAAATAATCAAAAACATTACCTGAGAAATCATTTCTATTCACTATTCAAATGTATAAGTAAAAATTACATTTTTATATATTTACTCAACTTTTATTTACATATCGTATATAATTGCAAAGTGCAAAACCATGTAAGGATATCATTTTCTATTGATCGCGCTGCATTTTGAAACTATTTATTTTAATAATGATTTGCATATAAAATAAGCGGCACAAAATCGGGAAATCGGTAACAAATCCTACAGGTATTCATTTACCTATCCATTGTTATTATAATTTAGAACTTGTTTGCCTGTTTTTACGTAATAATATAATTGAAAATTTTTCTTAAGATACCATCTTCTTTCGAAGGTTGGTGATCATCATGACTAGTTGTATTCTGTTTACAGCTGCTTTTAAAAGATGATTTGAAGAACACTTAAACTATTTTCTGTGATTTGGAGCCAAGATATTCGTCTTGCTCCAATGCTCCAACGGCGTTTGAGCTGAAAGCTGAAAGATAATTTGCAGAAGTAAATGGTATTTTGTCCCTTTCATCACATAACCTAGATATTGTAATTTTCGTATTTTTATATAATGGTTAAATTCTGTTTCTTTCGAGAGTTTTTCTCAAAACCTTTTCATTGGCAACTCGGTTCAAGTTTTAAAAAATTTTAAAAATGTTCACGTTTTTCATTATCGCTTTAGGCAGCGTGACTGCTTTAATTGCGTATAAAAAGATGCTAAATATCTAGTAAGAGTAAGTTGTGCCCAAGCTTCCTATTTGCGGTGAACATACTGCTTTATATTATGCATATTTTCTGATAATTTTTGTATGCTAATAACAACCGTCAGTGCTGCCAAAGCTCCCTATTGCGCTGAAGGTTTGCCTGTAGAACCCTGAATAATTAACACCTATTTAGAGAAGGATGGAGTCCACGACGGGGGTCACATCTCTGATCGTCCCCTTTACATTTTTCTTTACAGACTCAGAAGAGTGACCATTTATAAGTTTTGTTTTGGGATTATCTCTTTTTTCTCACGATTTGGGAAGAAATACTCAGTTAACAGAACAGAAATAGGTATAGCAGTGCGACCATACGATACCAAAGCTATAATCTTCCAGATATGCTATTTAGTAAAAACTTTATCCCATTTACCACGATATATAGAGTTGGTCTTTTTGAAGTTGTTCAATAGTGTGTGCTCTTGCGCATGCATAAGATGCGTGACGTCATATGGTAACTTAGATTCGAAGGTGTCAATGCTAAATAAATAAAGAATTTTGTTTTATTTGTTTTTTAGATGGTTTTGAGATGTAATAAAATATATGTGTGTAAGTTGTTAATAAATGATATAATTTTATCTTTTGATTCCAAATGCGTATATTTTGAAATTGATATAATTTAGAATATTCAAAAAATGAATTAAAAACATAAACTATGACCTTAGACTGACTAAAGCCTTTTAGATTTTTGAGTAAATAGGTCTGAATATTCTCTTACGTATTGAAATGATAAAGCAAAACTAGAATATAAGTGAGAGCGTTCACCAAACTGGTATGGCAAGTGGAAAGTAGCAAGTAGCACGCGCCTAGCATGTTACTTAAAATGTAACCAATGCAAACGAATGATTAGAATGAATGACGTCAGTGTCATTTTGGTGTGCGCTGAATCATTCGTTTTCATTGGTTACATTTTAAGTAACATGCTAGACGCGTGCTATTTGCTACTTGCCACTTGCCATGCCAGTTTGGTGGGCGCTCTCCCTTAGGGCGAGCGCCCACCAAAGTGGCGTGGCAGTGGCAAGTAGCAAGTAGCACGCGTCTAGCCTAATGTAACCAATCCTAACGAATGATTAGAATGAATGACGTTACTGTCATTTTGGTGTAAACTGAATCATTCGTTTTCATTGGTTACATTATGCTAGACGCGTGCTACTTGCTACTTGCCACTGCCACGCCACTTTGGTGGACGCTCTCACTTAGGGCGAGCGCCCACCAAAGTGGCGTGGCACGTGACAAGTAGCAAGTAGCATGCGTCTAGCATGTTATATAAAATGTAACCAATGTAAACGAATGATTAGATCGAATGACGTCACTGTCATTTTGGTGTGCGTTGAATCATTCGTTTTCATTGGTTACATTATAAGTAACATGCTAGATGCGTGCTTCTTGCTACTTGCCACGAGCCACGCCACTTTGGTGGGCGCTCTCACTTAGGTTTTAATCAACATAAATTGTACACACAATGTTAACAAAAACACTAGAAATTAATATGGCAGTGACAATGACTTCTGTCAAACACTGACAACATGAAGGTGCCTACAATATTCAGAGACTACAGCCAAAGTAATACCAAGGGGGTTAATATCACATCACGTATATTCAGTGGTTCTTTTATTTCTCTCATCAAATAGCTTCAAAAGTTAGATTGGTTATGATGATTGCTAACCTCCGTAACGGAGATGACACAGAAGAATAAGGTCTTGATGAACCATGGCTCTCATTAAAAGAGAGTGTTTTCCGGTGTTTTCTATTTAAGTACAGCCTTCTTTATATCCTTATTCACAGTACCTTTAGACCTTTCTCTACATTGTCTAGTAAGCATTTTTTGTCTTTCGCATTGTTTCTATCCTACATGTTTTTCAAGCAGGGATTTTCGAACACCATTTTCATTTTTCATCCTTAGAACTTGCTCCACTTATGAATTAGTAATTAAAAAAAACAAGGTGAGGGAGGTAGAAAGCAAAATAATGAAGAAATACATACATTCTTTTTCCTGTGATAAACATTCCCTGTACTTGGTTTTACACCTCGAGACTCTGGTACAGTAGTCGAAACACAAGTACCATATGATAAGTACCATAGTACCATATGATAAGTGATACAATTAATGTAATAGCTGCTACCCTTACGTCATGTTTTGAGCTTATCAGTAGGTGTTAATCTGGTTATACCTTACTTATTCTATTATCCTATATATCTATGGAACGTTTCGTCATTGGGACACTACGAATCTTTTATGAGAACTTTTATATCAGTCTGTTTTAGTACCACATTGAACAACTTATAAATCACGTATCATGAAATGTGTAAAAAAATATTTAAATCACTTACCATTTCCGGCGGCAAATTGATAGAAGGTACAGTTTGTTCAACAATATCTAGACTTTTGCAAACAATTTGATCTAGAGACGACAAAGGTCCTTTCAATAGAATCATTGCCGGTGAAGCAGCTTCGTACACTGATTGAGCTGATAGCTCGGCGGTGTCCAAAGTCCAGTGTATCAACGAACTTGAACCCTAAAAAACGGATTAAAGGGTAAAACTAAAATCTATCTAAAAGTAATAAAAAGTGTATTATTTATAAAAGATTAATATATTATCGAATATAAAATATTTAGGGCTAGCAATAATATTAACTCTTTCTTAATAAGGATTCTTAACTTCGTCGTTACTAGGTACCAAATCTGATAGGAAAGGAGCAGAATAAATAAGCGATTAGTGGTTAGTGGATAGTGGACATATGCCAAGCTGCAGCTGTCATTAAATGCCATACAACTTCCTAATCGACGTAAGTTGGTAATACTATTATATTCTACTTGTGATGGAATGCGTGAAGGCAATTTTCCAGCGTTTTAAGTTTGAACACCCTTGGTTAAAGTATGGGAATCCTAACAAAATGGTTTCAGGTCCTTCAGATTGGGGCATGTGCTTAAAAATTATTATTCTTTAAAAAAAGGATTGCTACATGTAAATTGATCTCTATTCGAGGTCAGGCCTTCTCTAAAATATGCTTAGGAAATTAAACACGTATTAAATGGAAATGACGGTTTTGCAAGAAATTAGAGGGTCCAAAACTATAAAAAAGGAGAGAGGAAAAAAAAGAGATTAGATGTAGGAAAACCGAATGAAATTGTTAGGAAAAAATCAATAGCTAAGAGATATATTAATATAACATGTGTAATAAAACCAATAAATAAAAAGTTTATGAAAAAAGAGATCTGTCAACACAGCAATAGAATTTTTGAAAAAAGTTGTTCAAAAAACATTAAATGAGACCAAAACTGACGTTACAACAAACATAATTATCAAAATAGTACGAAAAAATAAATGTTTTATTTGTAATTAAAATTATAGTAACAAATATTTACCTTAATTTTTTTATAGACCCCCTCGGCATAACTCCATCCTGTTTCGACTATTGGTATATGAGAAATTCGTGCTACTGATTCTAGGTCATTAATGTCAAAGGCTTTCTTCTTATGTATTGACGGCACTAAAACAAAAAATATGTATTAGTCAAAAATATCTAGGTTAGCTATTCGCTCCGTGCGTGACCATGGTAGGGGTACATTGAAACGACGCCAGCGTGCATAGCGGCGAAATATGACAAAATTGGAATATTGGACAAAATATTTTTATGCATAAATTTTATCAAAAATGTGTGCAAATACATGTTGCGTATTTAATTGTGCTAATAATAGCAAAAACAGTGAGTGTAGTTTTTATAGGTTCTCAAAGATTACATATAAATTAGAGAAAAGAAAAAGATAAATTCCTGCTATTAATATGAAAAAGTAAATATCACATAATTTCATTTTTACGCAATTGAAATAAGAAAAATTTAAATAATTTACCTTGAATGATATTTCATAAGGCTTCAAGCTAACTGCAGATGACTTTAGCTTTTATATCATAACTTTTACTATTATTGTTTTTAATTATATGCTCTTTTGCGTGAAAAACTTGATTTGTCAGTACCTACTAGATTTTTCCCTTTCTCTTACGTTTGGAGTTGAAAAGATATATTATGATGAATTTTGAGAAACCCAGTTTTTAATACTACATTTATTTTGTACATAAACTGAAAAAATATAGTTAAAAAACTAATTTATTAATAATTATTGTCAATGTCGCATGTATTTAGCAATGTCAAACATATGTCATATGTTTAACCTGAAAATTGGGACTCCAAAATTGTCAGAAAAAGGCGGTAGGTGTCGTGTCAGTCACGCACGGAGCGAATATTATATAACATTGTTATTAACAAAAAACCTTTATGTTATTTGTAAAGTATTGGTTTGTGAAATATTGGTTAGATACTTGTTGTATGGTAAATATAAGTAAATTGATTAACATTCTGTAGAACTAATGAAATATAAAATAAAAGTAGGGGTGCCATTAGATTATTGTAGTAGTAGCAGTTTCTTTCACGCTTATAGCATAAAAGTTTCCTGAGAGTTTTCTTATTGACATTCGAATTGCGTCTTGATATCTTCGAAGAAGCATTTTGAGAATGGTATCTTAATATTTCGAACGAAAATAAACATAATTGTTTATTTACATTGATAAACGCCTCTAAGCGAAATCAAATCTACTACTGCGAAAATCTTACTGTTGCGTCAACTGTAGGAGCTGCGTTTGGTTCGCGGGTTCTAAGTCTGGCGGCAAGCCAGTGAGGACATACCGGACCTATCCCGGTAAAGTTTGTTTAGCAGTAAATGGTTGACTTGAATTAGTCCCGAATATAAACATCCTGGGTTAACCGATAATAGTATAAAAGGCCCGGTTTCAGGAAACAATGGTTTACCTGAGGTACATGGTCTTAACAATGGACCAAGTCAGATAAATTTAATAATATTTACGACCGCACTAATCGAAGTCAACCATTTTCTGCTAAACAAACTTTACAGGCGACACCGGTACGAGCCACGCTTGGTTGATTGATCACACCTTTGTCTGATATAGTTGGCTTTGACAGTTTTTGTGCTTTTTTAAGAAATCTATTACGGTTTCTTAATCTCCGATTTATCTCTTGGTCACAAGATCATAAAACATGTCCAGCTGCCTGCTTATGAGAGTTAAGTTAAATTAGTGTCCGTAACCCAAAAATGTGTTTGCTGGAAAATTGTGTATCCAGTTATTCATTATTGAGGGAACCCGCACATACTGCAGTCAAAGTGTACAGTAAAAAACCAAAAATTTTTTTTATTATACTTGTAGCATGTATAAAATTCGAATATTCAAAGTATAAAATTTATCTGGTACGCCTCTGGTCCAAGTATAAAATATTACTGAGTCTCTGTGTTTACATTCCACATTCCAAATTCAAGTTACCACTGCAAAGTTAAATAATTCATATTATGCGTTTTAAAAATTCTTCGAATTTCAACCCAAGCCATGTTAAGGTTGAATCTCCCTTGCAGCGCGTCTTTGAAAAGGATTTTAGTTAGCCTATTACGAAGACCGGAGGAGAGGTGAGACGCAGCACTGGATGCCGGTACCAGGCGTTAGGTCGAAGTGAAGTTAGGTTTGGAAGAATCTTTGAAAAGTCAAGGCGCTGTGAGTGTCGGCGTTAAGAACTGGCAAATTTGTTAAAATAAGTGATTTATACTCAATGTAATGTGTCAGTTCTATTTTTCTTTTATGTCGTCTGTCACCTAAGAGATTTGTATCTAAAAGATTTGCGGAGTTTCCAACAAATTTCAAAAATACCCACATGGTTCCAGTTTTTTAAGAAACAGATGTCCAAAATTTATGTCTAGTGCTCCCTTCCAACCTCAATTTGTTTGTCCTAAGAAGCCGTTTCAGAATATTTTTGAATGAAGTTTTATTTCAGTTTTGTAGTTGCCAACCCCAACCACCTTACCATTCACTTATCCACGACCCAGTTCTCCAAATAAACCCTGAGAGGCCGTTCGCAAACGCTCCGATTTGTTTTGCTTGCCCTATCTCCACCCCAGTAGTTTCTGTCCCCAATTTCAACCCCCTATAGTAATACCCTATGTGGTAGGCAAAATAATCGTTACATACTTTTGGTGTTTCTGCTAAGAAAGTTAAAAAAAAATTGCAAGAGTTAAATTAATGTGCTTTGTTAAAATGTACATTGGTCAATGAAGTGTAATATGCACTGTAACAGGGGTACTTTATTATAATGTTATGGTAATAATGAATATGACCAAGGTAAGTTCTTATCTTTTTATTTAATTTTAAAATACAATATTTTACATAGGTCATATTTTTATGATCCTTCAAAGACAACATCCCAAACAAACAACATCGAATAATTCAAAATAGGATCTATGAACATTCCATTCTCCCTTGCAATTAAGATTTAGTTTCATCAGAAAGGCAACATCATCTTCTCCATTAAGCCGTGATCCGTTTCTATTAACAAATAATTATCCGCGTCAAAGTCATTGAAATCAAAAAGCACCCTGATTGTCTCAATTAAATAAATCATACTTGAATGTTTTTAACATAGAGAACTCTCCTCAAATATAACAATAAGTATTTAGTAGTAATAATGCAGTGAATAGTAAATAGTATACTACTGAATTGATCTAGAGCTCACACGACTGAGACCATTAAAGCCCCGATGCAGACTTCAGAGAGGAAGTCGAAAGCTCGATTTAGCAAAATTTGATGAGGTTCAATCCAGAACTAGGTCAACTTGATATTAATGCTTCTTATAACATGAATGTTTGCTTAAAGTTATTGTGATAATATATATATATATATATATATATATATATATATATAAATGTATAAATATGTATATATATATATATATATATATATATATATATATATATATGTATAAATATGTATATATATATATATATATATATATATATATATATATATATATATATATATATGTATAATTAATTAAGAATTATTTATTTAGAACATAATTTTTTTTTTCTACAAACTTTGACTCCTTTATAAAAAAAAAAATAAAAAAACCTTGCTACATACATTCCTCTTCAGTCTGTACCCCAACTGAAACATAGCTTGGTTGTTCAATTACCGGTTTGATTGTATTTTGTGATGCATATTGTTCCAAAATTTCATTTTGCAAACGCTTAGACGCATAAGATTTTCTTATCCGATTTCGGCGTTTCCTATGAGCCATGTTACCTGAAATATATAGGGGAATTTTTTTAGTGATCTGCAAAATCTGCATTACAAATGGTATACATTAAATTCTACATATTGTTATATTGCAGATATTCAAATACCAGCATCAACACTTGAGGAAGTAAAGAATGCGAGAGAATAGAAAATAGAATGGAAGCGTTATAATTTCCATATATAAGAAAGGAAACAAAGCACAATTCCGAAACTATAGAGGCAGATCGTTTATTAACACATCATATAAAGTGCTATCAATTATTTTGCTGAAGAGACTCACCCAATATTCGAAAGATATTCAAATAAATGAACCAGAACTGGGCCTAATATTAAAAGAAAGAGAAGAAGAAGAAATATGTATCGTAAGAGTTACATTGAAGAATCTCTTTTTTGCAATAGAATGTTACGTCCTTATGCAAGATATTTATCTTTGCTAGATAGCCTGGAAATAATCATGAATCACTTCATTATCTGGTTTAGATTTAAATGAAGATCGTGGGTTTTTCTTTGGACTAAAGCCGACCATTTTGAAATAATCTGTGATAAGGTAAATTACAAAGAGAATAAACATCTCTGAATAATTGGAGAAAATTGTCGCGGTGTTTGGACTTTAGAAACTGTTACTAGCAGCTCTTGATACACAAATTAAGATGAAAAAGGGAACTATTATAAATATTACTAATACTTTTTCGTAAGCTATGGAACTTATAAAAGAAAACCATTTCAGTATATGTTAAAAAAATCAATTTGTAGAATCGCATATGACCTATTTCCGTATTAAACAACTATTGTCATAAACTGGTCAAATTATTGGACAACATTCAAATCATCTATATTATACCCACTTGCAAACACAAAACAATTGCATAAGTTAAAAGTTTATCCAAAAAGACGAATCTTAGAACGAACAAAAAAATTGAAAATCAAAACACAAAAAAATATACTAAACACAATACAGTAAAAAAATACTTACTTACCTCCTCTAAAAACGATATCCTATGTATTTAATAACCACACAATCACGATTAATTCATAAAATCTATCGAATTTGGAAGAATATTTATCTCAACAAAAAATAAGAGTCATAACTCAAATTAAAGTGTTACCTCATTATACTCGACTTTCTATAAAACTTTATAATATATTGTTTACTTATTCAAGCCGCCGATAATGCAAGTCAAAATATTTTCTTGGCGACTTTAAAAACATTGTAGAGTGAATTTCACAAAACGATTAGATAAAAGCTTCTAGATATTTTTATATTCTGATCTAAGCATTTTTTTTATTTTTTCTGCTAGAAATAAAGAGTAATAATTGTTTTCAACGTCTCGATAGCACAAAAGCTTTACATATTCATGCTAAGTTTTCTACTAAATACTTAATGGGGGAAAAATGGGGGGTAAAGGGGTAGAATGCGAAAGGATGGAGTTACTTCCAGTTTACTCCACTTAGCCTCTTCTACTCAAATCCGACTCTCACCTTCGCGCTGGTGTCCCCTGTTAAACCGAGTAACCCAACTGGAGATCCGGTATCCAACCCGGGTGGAAAGTTGGGTCTTTATCGTTTATATCGTTTAGGAATGTGTCCAACAACTCTGATATTTATAAAATACCTTGTGAATGCGATCAGTTTTATTTAGGTGAATCATCAAGGCCATTAAATGTTAGAATAAGTGAACATCAATCTTATATTAAAAATAGAGAATTTGATAGGTCTCAAATATGTAAACACGCATGGGATAATGAATATAGGGTTCAATGGAATAATTCAAATATAGTTCTAAAAGAAACGGATGGTAAAAAAAGAAAAATCAAAGAAGTGGCTCTAATTATGCTAAATGAGGCCAATTGTGTCGCAAATTCCTCGGCAGAATGTAGTAGGATCTGGTTACCAATATTGAAAGAGGAAGTTATTAATAAGAAAATACCAGTATTAGTAAGTCAGTAACATATAGAGGATACATCATTTATGTTTTTTAAATAACGTAACATATAAAATCAGAATTTTGATGTTTGTTGAAGGTAAACTAAATTCACGAACAAATACTTACAATGTCGGGATAGTATTATGAGGTTTTTTTCCTGGTTTTTCCCTCATAATTTACTATGGAATCACTAACAGGAGAATTTTACTGTCATCATGTCATGTGTTTGTCGTTTTAAAGACGAATTACGTGCTATGATTTTTTCTGACGGATATTCTCAAGTTAAAGTTGATTTCATGTAATCGAATGAACTATCTTAAGTAAAGTCGTCACAGGAGCGCAACTCAACAATATTGGCAATATCATTTTAAAGTCGTCTACTTTAAAATGCATAATGTATGTCTGAATTGTCAATATAAATGAGTCAGATAAAATTAAATTATTAGAAGAATTTTTTCACTATGTAACAAAAAAACAAAATTTGTTTAATTTACTGTTGTATTTTGAGAACGATTTCCGAATTGGAAATTGAAACGTCAATAAACGTATTTTTATCTTTAATTTTGGCTTATTCCCAGTTATAAATAGTAATTAATTTACAATGCCACAAGAAAATAGCTTCAGAACAATATTACAGCTATGTTATGAATGTACGCACCAGACGTGGAGCAAACATTGACTCCGATCACTGCTCTGAGATAGTTAGAAAATTTGAAAACAAACTTGAAAGATTTGAAAAACTAGAAAACCAAATGAGTAGTACTGTTCAAAACATAGATAATTACTGAAATGCAAAAATATCCTGAAAGAAGTAGCAACAACAGTTTTAGGAAAGAAGAAACAAGAAAGGAAGGGGACAGAATGGTATGATGCAGAATGCGCACAGTCAACTCAAAAAAAGAATTAGGCGTATGGGAAACTCCAAAACAAAAGAACAAGACAAAATCAAGAGGAGTACAAATAGATGAGACAAGCAGAGAAAGAAATGGAGACTAATTCTTGAACAGGCCAAGACCCACCCAGAGTTGCAGAGTTAAAGATGATGATGACTTAGGAAAAATTGTCATCAATTGGATCCTTTGTACGTATAAGCGGATTGCCTCCTCCCTGGATCGAAATAAAAATCTAATACCTTCATTATGTTTTATTGCTTTACTCTGTTTGGAGTACCAGAAACTGAATTCATTACGAATTTTGACCATGATGAACGGCAGGTGGAATGCATATTTTGTATTCCCGCATTTAGTTTAGCGAAACCGGATATAAATGTTATTTTTAGTGTAAATATTGGATTTGCATTATTTTTTGGATAATAGTTGTTAGAAAATGATGTTTGAACTTGCTCCTGTAAAGTTTGTCGTTCGGGACTTACGAAGAATGCTAATTACCATAACAATATATTTATATCTTTTATTTTTTTCTATAAATTTTATTAAAAGTTAAGTAAATATAATATACGAATGTTTATTCTATGAAATGAAGTAATTGTAATCAAAACTTATTTGAACTTGGTCTTCTCGGTGTCAGCATTGAACATGTTGTCAGTCATAACAAATTAGCAGTTTTTATAAACAATTTATTTTATAGTTATCGAATCATAGTTCAAGTTTCAGTTTTTTTAACGACTAGTGATTCCGATTTATATTATCTATGCATTCGATGGACTTTGGAAGCACGATGATTTATTATGGTACACAACATTGGTGGCAACAGACAGCAAAGCCGTGGATATTTCCCAAATGACACAGATAACATAACATCTTAAAACTTTTCTGTAGCAATTAATGTGCCATAATTGTAACATAGTCACAACAATATTTTTAAATGGACTCTTTGATAATTTATCTCGTCACCAATTCAAGAACAATTTTACGAGAAACATGTCTGTCAACTGAAGTTGATTGAAGTACTTAAATTTAAGAATTGAATAAATGTTTTTAGATATTCAAAATAGAAAACAGGAAAACCTTCTGAACTTACGGAATTTCCATATGTCTCACGGAAAATAATTTAAATTTAAAGGTAGACAAACATCAAAACGACGAATGGAAACTAAGACAAGAGTTAAAGAAAAAGAAGATATTAAACAATTGAGTGTTTTAACTTTTGACTTGTTTACGACGTTACTTCGTTATAGATCTAGATTTTTCTAATTTTATTTTCCTGAATCATTTCATTATGACATCTTTGAACACTTTGTCTGCGCACCTTTTAGGGATAATGTATGTCTGGTGCTGAAGAGTATGTTAATAATTAAACAGACAACAATAGTAAAAAATGACTTTCACATATCTACTCCACACAACTCGAATGTACTTTCCCCCCATTCTTGGTACTTGGCTACAAAAACTCCTTTATTGTGAAAACAACAGTGGAAAACTAATCTGTCCTCATCTTGTTTCAATAGGAACCAGCTTTCATATCGACTGGTAACTAGAGACACTAAGGGTGTAGACATTTTTCTTTGATTCATCTCCTTCTTCTTCTTCATTCTATAATAACATCAGTTTTCCGAACCCCTTTCACCTTTTCCTTCCGAAAAGGAATCAAATCTTCCCTAGGTGTGTGCCGTTATTAGGTATACACAGTAGGACAAGCCCTAAGATATTCTACAAGAATACCCTTCCAGATTGCGCAGGATGTCTCCATGTTTCGTTCTCTAATGAACTCGTCCGGGAATATCTGTATAGCCAATGTTTACAATTACTGAATAATTGACAGAATCTGAATCATAAAAATCATGTTCCATTTCTATTGAAAAGCGTTCCCAGTGGTCATTTTTTATTTTTCTTACAAGTGCATGTGTTTTGTTCCAATACATTACATAGGTCAAAATATAACATTGCACCTAACCATTTACACATAGATAAACAACAAATAATTAATCATAATTATTAATCTTATAAATAATTCATCATTGTGTAAGCATACATCGTTCGGCAACATTTGTAAATACAGTTTTCGTTGTTCACATTTTATAAAAACCTTGGTTTTATCATGCAAGACCATTAAGAATCACGTGGCTGGGGATGATAATCAAACTATTTAACAGCACCTATCTTAACTCATTTGTTTTCCAATTTGCTTATCTTAATACTTGTTTTATAAATAATGTATAACAACTACCTCTTATTTTCTATATTTAGCAGCTTCTTGTAAGAAATAGTAAACTTTGGAGGTAACAAATTAAATCGCCAGCACCAAGCAGCACGTTGTAATAGCAATAGCAGTATGATACTGACGATATAGTACACTCTAGACATATTGCGATAATTTGCAGCTTTGAAAATTCACTGGAAATTGCCTGATATTAAAAATATGAAAATATTTATACCTTCACAGATGGATCCAAAGATGAACAAGATAATCTACGCATTGTTATATACCTTAATGAAAGCACCGAATTAACAGCAAGATTACCATCTGCTAATTGAACTTGTTCAGCAGAATTATTTGCAATAAAAACAAGGCATTATATTTAATTCAACAGAATGATTTAAAAAAAAAACCTTATTTGTAGTGTTTCAAAAAGTGCTCTGGAGAAAATTACAAGACCAAGTTATAAGACTGCAGCAGACACACAAACTCTTCAATTAAAACAAAAACCTAGTCAACAATCATAAACAAAATACAAAAAAAATTCGCATGGATTCCAAGTCGTACCTGGATCGTGGGGAATAATAGAGCTGATTATCTTGCTAAACTTGGAAGAAAGCTACCTGTTACTGAAGAACCAAAGGCTTTTTTTAAGATTTTTAAACTAAACATAAGGAAAACCTATGTGTCAGTTGGAAAAATCGTTTCCAACAAATGGGACAGGTAAAAGGAATTACATATTGTACAAATGTTACGGTTCCATATAAAAAGGCCTGGTTTACAATATTTCCCAACCTCGGGAGGGGTATAATTGCATCAATGTGTCGTATGAGAAGTAGACATTGCAGTGTTCCGGTTCACTTATTTAGATTAAAAGTGATCAATACAAATCTGTGTTCATGTAGCAGTTTAGGCACCTTACAGCATGTGCTGTTGGAATGTACTAGATATCAAAGGGAGTCCCAGCTACTTAGAAGTGAATTTTAAGGTGATTCAACATTTATCGATGTGTTGTTCAAAAACTTAAACTCAAAGACATTACTTGCAGTGCAAAAGTTTTTAGCGGCAACAAGTTCTTAAGTGTAGTTTGTTAG